GAGGTGGTGGATTTAAAAATATAGTGCTGGCAGGAGGTGTTCAATCTTAAGTTACCATCAACTTGATGTACAACTGCCGTATTTGTAAGACCTTGTACTGAAACCCCATGGTAACCCAAAACCAAAAACCCATAGGAGATACACAAAAAGTAAAGAGACAGGATTCCAGACATGAACTAATAAAGTCAGCACACCCAAGGGAATAGGGAAAGAGAAGACAGGACCAGAGATAAATAACAAAACCAACCACAAAATGTTAAACAAAATTCCAGGATGGAAAGAGTTATTCCATGTGAATAGAAACAAAAAAGGGTTGGTGAAGTAGTGGTTATATCATATAAAAAAGATATTAAAACAAAAACTCTAAAAAGAGACAAAGACATTAGATAATGATTAAGGGAATAAAATGAGAAGATATGACAGTTGTAAATACCTACACAGCCAACAGAGGAGCACCGAAATACACAGAACAAATGTTCACAGACATGGAGGGAGAAACTCACAGTAATGCAACAATAATAAAGGGAGTTTCATGCTACACTTACACCAACAGATAGATCATCCAGACAGAGAATTAATGAGGAAACAAATCGTGGCAGTGAATGATATATTACACCAAATGGGTACAACAGAATTATACAGAAGGCTTCATCCAGAAAAGCACAACATTTTTTCATTTCTAGTGCACAGGAAAAGTCCTTGAGGATAGATCACACATTAGGCTATGAAACAAGTTTTAATAAATTTAGGAATATTCAAGTCTTACTAACCATCTTTAGATGGAATAATATGAAACCAGAAATAAGAACAAAAATGGAAAATACATGAACAATTAGAGGCTAAACAGCATGATCTGAGACAAGAAATGAGTCCCTAAAGAAATTACAGACAAAAACAAAAAATAATTGGAGTATCATGAATAGAGAAACAATGCCATTCAAAATCGTTGGGAGCACCAAAAGCAGTTCTGAAGGGAAGTTTGTAGATTTACAAGCCTACCTCAAGAAACAGAAAAATCTCAAATCAACAGCAAAACATTACACATAAGAGATTTTGAGAAAGAAGGACAAAGAAAACCATCCTGATTACAATTGCATTAAAAACTAAGGTAGCTAGGAATAAATATAACCAAGGAGGCAAAAGTTCTGCCCTTTGAGAACTGTAAAAGTTTAATGAAAGAAACTAAAGACAACATCAATAATTGGAAAGGTATTCCATGCTCATGTATAGGAAAAATTATTACTGTTAAAATGGCCACATTGCCTAAAGTAATACAGTTCCACAGCTAGCCATCCCTATAAAAATGACAGTGGCATTTTTCAAAGAACGAGAGCAAATAACCTTAAACTTTGCATGCAACCATGCGCGCGCACACACACACACACACACACACACACAAAACCTGACATGTCTAAGTAACCTTTAAGAAGACAAAGCTGTGTAATCATTCTCCTTGATTTCAAACTGTACTACAAAGTTACAGTAATCCAAACATTAACATAATGGCACAAGATAAACAGACAAACAGAGCCAAATAGAGAACAAACAGACCCATGCCTATAAATTCAATTAATCTACGACAAAGGAGGCAAGAATATACAGTCAGGAAAAGACAGCCTCCTCAATAAGTGGAGATTAGAAAATTAGACAGCTACATGATAAAAATTAAACTGGATCACTGTCCTACACCATACACAAGAATAAACTCAAAATAGGTTCAAGACCTACACTTGAGTCCTGAGACCTAGAAGAAAACTTAGGCAGTAAACTCTTAAACGTCAGCATTAGTAATGTTATCCTGGATAGAACTCTACAGACAAGGGTAACAAAAGCAAAAAAGAAATAAGGGAACCTACAGCAAACTATAAAGCTTTTGCACAGTAAAGGAAGCCATTGACAAAACAAAAAGGCAACCTACGATGTGGGAGAGTACCTCTGCAAAGGATATATCAGAGGCTAATATACAAAACATATAAATAACTCATGCAAACCAACACAGAAAAGATAACAAATTGATTAAAAAATGGGCAGAGGTCCTGAACAGAAATTTTTCTGAAGAAGACCAGCAGACAACAGACACATGAAAAGAAGCACAGTTTCACCAATTATCAAGGAAATGCAAATCAAAACCTCAGTGAAAAACACAGAGATATGCACCATGTGCAAGTATGATTTATCCCTAGGATGGAAGGATGGTTCAACATATGCAAATTAATAAACATAATATTTCACATCAAAGGAATGGAAGATAGTTTTCACATGATCATCTTAATAGATACAGAGAAATCACTTGTTAAAACACAACATCAAATCATTTCATGATGAAAACCCTTAACAGATTGGGTATAGAAGAAACATATCTCAACTGAACAAAGGCTAAATATGTCAAACTCTCAGTTAACATCAAATCGAGAGGAAAAGGTTGACTTTTTTCTGGAACATCCAGAGCAAAACAAGAATGCCCACTGCCCCACTCCTATTTAGTATAGGGTCAGATGACTCTATAGAGCAGTTAGGGATGACAAAATAATAAGAGACATACAAGTCAGAAAAGAAGAATTAGAATTGTTATTTGCAAATGATATGATTTTATATACAATGAATCACAGAGATCCTAGCAAAAATCATGGGACCTATTCAACAATCTCAGTACGGTTAGAGGATACAGAATCAATATGGAGAAACTAGTTGCATTCACTTACACTACTGGATGAAACATCAAAAGAAGAAATAAAGAAAACTATTTTCTCAACAATAGCATAAAAAGTTTTAAAATACTTAGGAATAAATTTGGCTAAAAAAGTGAGTGATTTCTGCAATGAAAATGACACGATTTTGCTGAAAGTAACCAAGGTCACATCAAAATATAGCACATGATCCTGAGTAAAGAAAATTAATATTGTTAAAGTATTCATATTACCAAAGGCATTTCCGGTTTCAACATAATTTCCATCAAATAAAAAAGACATTCTTTATAGAAATAGAAAAAACAATCCTAAAATATCTGTTTCAATATTTTGTGATAAGGCCACGTAAGGATCTAGTCATGTGTAACCTACTTGCTTGCAGAGCTCCATGGATATGTAGATGTATCTTCATCAAATCTAGGAAATATTTGGCCATCGGGTTTCCAAATTCTTTCCCACCTTGTTCTCTCGTAGGTAAGTTTAATGTTTCCCTGGATCTCCAAGGCTCTTCATTGGTTTGTCCTTATGCTGCCACATGGGATAATCCCTACGGACAGAGACTCACGTTCCCTGAGTTTTCCTCTCTCAGACCAAAATGGCTGCAGAGGTGTTTTAGTGTCTCATCAAATAGAACATATTTTCCATAACTACTTTGTTTGCTAAATCCAGCACTGGGTCCTCTTAAGTTAGTTTTTGTTAATTGATCTTTAGCCTGATTCTGTGCCATAAATTCTACTTTCTTGGCCTTTTTCATATTTTTTTGAAAACTGGACATGTTTAGGTAATGTTATAGCAGTTTAGGAATCTGATCTCTTCTGCAGGTGGTTATTATCTTATTTTTTTTTATAGCTTCTTTTAGTAGTAGGAAATCTCCTTCCTGAGGAATATGCAGACTTCTTCAAAACTCCCATAAAAGTTTCATTTAAAAACATTGTTTTTTATATTGACATGTGGACATGAATACATTGGCCCTCAGTTAATAATGTCAGAGGTTTTACTCAAAACCCACAGTGACTAAGATTTCCATCTTTGCACTCTTACACAACATTTGGCAAATATTTAAAGATTTCAATAATCATAAGTCTAGTATATTTTCCTTAAGTTATTCATTTACTAAGTAAGTCACAATTATTTTTTTCCAAGCCACTAGCAACCTTTATTTTTTTAATTGAATAATTTTTTAACTCATAAATTACCATGAGAAATACAGCGTATGAATAATTAAAAGAGTGAGTTTGTGTCACATGAAAGACTTATTTTCTTAGCAGTTAAAATTTCTCCAATAAACGGGATTGAAGCCTGCCTTTGAATTGATTGTTTATTTAATGAGATATAGTGATAGGAAAAATGTATCCATGAATTCCAAAGGAACTAAGAGTTGTTTCAAGTAGGAAATGCAAGCTGGCTTTGCCTGGAGCTGTGCTCCTGAATAGAAGGAGAGGAAGTGTGCCAAGAATGACTTCAGTTGTTTCTAAATAAGATAGTGTGTCCAGTGTAAAGTCAGCAGATGCAGAAGAGTCATGAATTATCTTACTATACTGGAAGAAGTACCTGGCATTGAAGAGGCACAAACAATCGAACAGAAGCTACAGATAAAGTCAATAACCCTGGTGAATGAATATAGAGGGAATTTGAGGAGGCCTTAGAATATTTACCCTTCTGGCCATCCATTTTGAAGACAAACTGACTGGGTAGAGTGTGTAATCCATGAATACAAACAGTATCAGAAGAATCAGCGCAGGACCTCTCTGTATGTGTGTGATGAGAGAATATGAACATCTTAGTAATACCTTCCCAGTGAGAGGGATGATGGCAGATAAAAATTGACTGTTAGTTATGTAAGTATTACACTTTTCTGAAAATCACAGAAATTGAGTAAGGGCCTAATCTTTCAAATTATATAAATTAAAAACCCCCTTGTATGACTTTTTTCTCTTAATGTTTCAGTTTGTCACATTTATACCAGTTCTCAATTGGTCATGGAAATAATCCCAATATTTAACTGTTTCAATAGGTGAGACTTTGAAGGAGAAGAACCTTGATCCATTGTGCTGGTACCTGAAAGACGCAAGAGGGTTATTGATGGGACAGCAGGTAGAAACTTCCTTCCTTTCTGAAGTTTTTCCTTAAAGTGGTTTTGAACTCTGCCCAGCAGCCCTGAATATTTTTGATTTGGTTGAATCATTTACCATCCACTGTTTGTGGTAAATGGAACATGTGTTGGAAAATGAATAGTCAGCATGTGCTTAATCCCACTCGAGTGAATTATTGATTCCAGGAACATTTTTAATTGGTCGGTCATTCAATCTCTGTGGCTTATTTAGTCTTCGTCTTTTATCTTTTCCACCTGTGGCCACAGAATTGTTCTTCTTACATGCATTTATATCAGACGGTAACTTATTTTTAAGCTACATCCTCGGGTGAGTTGTTCCATTTTTGTATAGGGGTAGAAAAAGATTCCGTTCTTTCCTTTTATGATCTTTGGCTACTTCTGTAATTAAGTTCATAGAAGTAAGATAAACAAGAGAAAAGCTATCTTGAATACCTATAAAGAGGAGCATCTCAAAGGCACAAATCCTTAAAGACCTTCAGGCAATATAGTGAGGCTGAGATAACACCTGAGCTAAGTAAGGGGGTTTGGGCTCTGGAGCTAAAATAGGAAGGATGATCATTTATCTGAGATGAAAAGATAAAATATTTGGAGAACGTGTTTCTCCTGTCATGCACATGAGTCTTTTGGATATGAAAAGTACCTTTGGCAATAGCTCTTTTACTGGTATAGGTCTTCTATCAAACTTCATTTATGCAATAAGCAAGAGGAAAAAGCTTCTTCTGAGTCTGGTGGGTCTTAATTGCCTTTAGCACAAAATAATTTACAACCTGGGGTGATGTCCTGTGTTCCTGCTCAGTCCCACCTAGGCAACTTCCCCAAGAAGTTTCTTGGTTCCAAATTTGGGTTTTTACATTGCTCCATCTCATGGAGCTAGTCTCAGCCCTCACAATAGATAAGTTCAGTAAAACTCATTAAAGGAGGCGGTGGTGTAGGTCAGCTCCCAAAGTTTGGCTTATACTGTGTAGGCCATTGGGTATTTAATCAGAGGCATTTCTATGGACACTAAAGAAAAGCAATGAATAATCAGAGAAGCTGTCTTTAATCACAGTTTCTCAGGTGAACGCAGGAGGTTGAGAAGATTTTTTACACATGTGGCTTGAAACATATTCAGATGTGATGATGGCAGCCAGTGGTAATATGATAAATATTTCTAGTTTGAAGATTGAATTTCTTTGCAGATCTTTCTGAGAGGCTACATAGCAACAGGCATGGTCCGCAGATGAGCTACTGTGGTAAATTACCTGATATTCAAACCATGATGTCCAATTTAACATGTCTGTCTTCTGAAAAAGGGAGGTTTTAGTTCCCATTGATTCCACATCAGTATGTTTGGAGAAAATTGGAAGCATTAGTTTGGAGGGTTACAGCCAATATTGGAGGAAAGTAGAAGAAATTCAAGTGCAGTTCAATTTACAGGTCAAAATGAAAACCTCAAAGGCAATGGACAGGTCTTAAATATGCTATCCACAAGGCTGTGGTGTACATTTTTGCTGAATATAGTTTTTTTCTGTACAGTTACCCCATTTCTAATGGAGATAATCATAGTAAGACCAATTTGTTTGTAACATACATGTAGTCTCCACCTTGATGTGATTATTAACATAAGTGCAGTGGGAATAGTTGACTATAGACTCCTTGACAGTTGGCTTTTTGAGAATATGGCAAAAGGAGTCTGAGTTTGACTCTAAAAAATATCTTGAGGATAGGAACAAAGTCCGGGGCTGGCCATCAAACTTAGCATGCAATACTTCACAATTTGACTTAATTCCACTCTTCTTGAAGTCCCCACATATCCTGAAGGTCCTGGGCCTGCCAGGAAGTGACCTGTCTTACTCACCAGAAATGGCTGCTGGGAGTCCTATAAACAAGGTAGTAGGACAATTTTTCCAAGGGGTTGGATTGGATTCATAAAGTCACCCTTAGTTCCATAGAGATGCCTGTCATGAGTGAGTCCATGTGTATCTCTCTCAAATATGCCATGCAAGCCAAAGCCCTGTATATCCAGTTGTGTCCTGTTAGAAAGGGAGCAGAATTTTATTGAACTTCCACAAGTAAATACATTACTGAAAAAGCTCAATGGTCATTAAAACTTTATAAATTCTAGGGGGAACAGGTAGTGTGATGGATTAAATGTTTCATCCTATTTCATACGGTACTCATTACCAAAATGCTGCTTCCTTTTTTTTTTAAGTTTTTTTCTTCAGTTTTCTTTCTTTTTTAAAAAATTTTTTATTTTAGTATCATTAATCTACAATTACATGAAGAACATTATGTTTACTAGGCTCCCCCCTTGACCAAGTCCCCCCCCACATACCCCTTCACAGTCACTGTCCATCTGCATAGTAAGATGCTGTAAAATCACTACTTGTCTTCTCTGTGTTGCGAAGCCCTCCCCGTGCCCCCCACGCACTATATATGCTAATCATAATGCCCTCTTTCTTTTTCCCCGCCCTTATCCCTCCCTTCCCTCCCATCCTCCCCAGTCCCTTTCCCTTTGTTAACTATTAGTCCATTCTTGGGTTCTGTGATTCTGCTGCTGTTTTGTTCCTTCAGTTTTCCTTTGTTCTTGTACTCCACGTATGAGTGAAATCATTTGGTACTTGTCTTTCTCCCCCTGACTTATTTCACTAAGAATAATACCCTCGAGCACCATCCATATTGTTGCAAAAGGTAGAATCTGTTTTTTTCTTATGGCTGAGTAATATGCCATTTTGTATATGTACCACATCTTCTTTATCCATTCATCTACTGATGGACATTTAGATTGCTTCCATATCTTGACTATTGTAAATAGTGCTGTGATAAACATTGGGGTTCATCTGTCTTTTACAAACTGGAGTGCTGCATTCATAGGGTAAATTTCCAAAGTGGAATACCTGGGTCAAATGGTATTTCTATTTTGAGCATTCTGAAGAACCTCCATACTGCTTTCCACAATGGTTGAATTAATTTACATTCCCATCAGCAGTGTACGAGGGTTCCCCATTTCTCCACAACCTCACCAACAATTGTTGTTTGTCTTTCGATGATGGCGATCCTTACTGGTATCAGATGATATCTCATTGTGGTTTTAATTTGCATTTCTCTGATGATTAGCGATGTGGAGCATCTTTTCATGTGCCTGTTGGCCATCTGTATTTCTTCTTTGGAGAACTTTCAATTCAGCTCCTCTTCCCATTTTTTAATTGTATTATTTGCTTTTTGTTTGTTGAGGTGTGTGAGCTCTTTATATATTTTGGATGTCAATCCTTTATCAGATCTGTACTTTATGAATATATTCTTCCATACTGTAGGATATCTTTTTGTTCTATTGATGGTGTCCCTTGTTGTACAGAAGCTTTTTAGCTTGATATAGTCCCACTCCTTCATTTTTGCCTTTGTTTTCCTTTCCTGGGGAGATATGTTCATGAAGAGGTCACTCATGTTTATGTCCATGAGATTTTTGCCTATGTTTTTTTCTAAGAGTTTTATGGTTTCATGACTTACATTTAGGTCTTTCATCCATTTCGAGTTTACTTTTGTGTATGGGGTTAGATAGTGATCCAGTTTCATTCTCTTACATGTAGCTGTCCAGTTTTGCCAGCACCAACTATTGAAGAGACTGTCATTTCCCCATTGCATGGCCATGGCTCCTTTATTGTATATTATCTGGCGATATATGTTTGGGTTAATGTCTGGAGTCTGTATTCTGTACCAGTGGTCTGTAGCTCTGTTCTTCTGCCAGTACCAAACTGTCTTGATTACTGCGGCTTTGTAGTAGAGCTTGAACTTGGGGAGCGAGATCCCCCCCATTTTATTCTTCCTTCTCATAATTGCTTTGGCTATTCGGGGTCTTTGCTGGTTCCATATAAATTTTTGAACTATTTATTCCAGTTCATTGAAGAATGCTGTTGGTAATTTGATAGGGATTGCATCGAATCTGTACATTGCTTTGGGCAGGAAGGCCATTTTGGCGATATTAATTCCTTTTAGTCAGGAACATGGGATGAATTTCCATTTGTTAGTGTCCTTTTTAATTTCTCTTAAAAGTGTCTTATAGTTTTCAGGGTATAGGTCTTTCACTTCCTTGGTTAGGTTTATTCCTAGGTATTTTATTATTTTTGATTCTATTGTGAATGGAATTGTCTTCCTGATCTCTCTTTCTATTAGTTCATTATTAGTGTATAGGAAAGCTACAGATTTCTGTGTTTTAATTTGTATCCTGCAACTTTGTTGAATTCCGATATTAGTTCTAGTAGTTTTGCAGTGGAGTCTTTAGGGTTTTTTATGTACAATATCATGTCATCTGCATATAGTGACAGAGTGACTTCTTCTTTAACAATCTGGATTCCCTGTATTTCTTTGTTTTGTCTGATTGCCATGGCTAGGATCTCCAGTACTATGTTGAATAACATTTGGAAGAGTGGCATCCCTGTCTTGTTCCCGATCTCAGAGGAAAAGCTTTCAGCCTCTCCCTGTTCAGTATGATTTTAGCTGTGGGTTTATCATATATGGCCTTTATTATGTTGAGGTACTTGCCCTGTATGTCCATTTCGTTAAGAGTTTTTATCATGAATGGATGTTGAATTTTGTCGAATGCGTTTTCAGCATCTATCAAAATGATCATGTGGTTTTTCTTCTTTTTGTTGATGTGGTGGATAATGTTGAAGGATTTTCGAATGTTGTACCATCCTTGCTTCCCTGAGATGAATCCCACTTGGTCATGGTGTATGATCCTCTGAATATATTTTAGACTCGGTTTGCTAATATTTTGTTGAGTATTTTTGCATCTATGTTCACCAGGGATATTGGTCTGTAGTATTCTTTTTTGGTGGGGTCTTTGCCTGGTTTTGATATTAGGGTGATTTTGGCTTCATAATGAGTGTGGGAGTATTCCCTCCTCTTCTATTTTTTGGAAAACTTTAAGGAGAATGGGTATTATGTCTTCTTTGTATGTCAGATAAAATTCTGAGTAAAATCCATCTGTCCGGGGGTTTTGTTTTGGGTAGATTTTTGATTACTGATTCAATTTCATTGCTGGTACTGTGTCTGTTTAGATTTTCTGTTTCTTTCTTGGTCAGTCTTGGAAGGTTGTATTTTTACAGGAGGTTTTCCATTTCTCCTAGGTTTTCCAGCTTGTTAGCATATAGATTTGCATAGTATTCCCTAATAATTCTTTGTATTTCTGTGGGGTCTGTCGTGATTTTTCCTTCCTCTTTTCTGATTCGGTTGATGTGTGTTGATTCTCTTTTCCTCTTAATAAGTCTGGCTAGAGGCTTATCTATTTTGTTTATTTTCTCGAAGAAGCAGCTCTTGGCTTCATTGATT